CCCCCCCCTGCCCCAGCACACACGCGCCCCCAGCTCGCCCATCCAGTGTTCCAAACCTCCGGCTCCAAGCTGTTCCCTGGGCAGCGCCTGTGTTTTGTCTTGTGTGCATGCCCTCCCGGCTGTCCCTTTGAAGACACCTTTATTTCCTGTGGCCAAGCTTGGCCCTGGAGGAGAGGGGCCGGTGCATCTGTGCATCCAGGTCCAGAGCCCCTGCCCTGCACATTTCTCCGCATCCCAGCACCGCTTTCCTTTTCCCGAGCAACCCCTCCTCCTGGAGCTCTCGAATTTAACCCATTCCTCCCCAAGGTGTGTTGCTCTTGATTGGGTTATTGGGGAGCACTTTCCAGTTGAGGGCTTTTCCAGGGGAGGTATATCAAAACGGGGAGGAATGGTGGTTTGGGAAAAGTCCAGCCTCCTGGTTAGCTATCCATAATAATTCTAGAAAGTGGGGGGCGGGGGGGGGGCGGTTGCTAGGGAGGAGTGGGAAGGGGTGGAAGGGGCACTTGATCTCCTGGGGAGTGTGAGATTTTTTTGTTTTTCCAATGGGGGCACCGTGGGTCAGACTGAGCCACCGAGCCCTATCGGACACCTCAGCTGACTCCAGCAAAAGAGGCCTTGGAGCCCCTGGTCATTGGGGCGTCTCCTAGTCCTAGATCCTGGGAAGGGAGGAGGGTTTGGAAGGTGAGTGACCGAAGCAGTTGTTGTCGGGTCAAATGATTGTCAGAATCGAAGCCTGTTTCCGCTGGGGAAACGGTCTTGCCAGCGTCCTGTGTACGTGCCTTGCACTTTTCCTTCGCTACGACCGCCTCACACCCTCCGGCCATCGGCAGACAGGTAGGGCGTGGGGAAATCTGTCATCTCTCCGTTTTGTGCTTGGGGGAAAAAAGAAAAAGAAAATGAAAAGCTGGAGGATTGGTTTATTAAGTAGTGTCACTAATGGTTGGCATCAGAAACAGTAATCCCTAGCCTCTTTTAAAAATTAGGAATAATTTCCTTGCTTTTCAGCTAGGTCTGAATTAGCTATTGAAGGAAAGAGTAAGAGTTCATTTAAGGCTTGGGAGAGATTTTGCAGAATCTGCTTGAAGTTCAAGAGTGGCAGTGTTGGTAGTCTGGAGCTTTGCAGGCCCGGGGTGGAAGGACCCGGACTTGATCAGGATCTCTTGTGCGCCCTGGTGAGGGGGTGGGGAATAGGTTGTCTTCAAAATTGGGAATTTCGGCTCCATTCTGGCTAATTGTTTTTGTGGGCAGCAGCTGTAAAAGAAAGAAATGGATCTTTTGAGATGCATTTGAAATGCATATTAGGTATTTAGTGGTGGCTTTTTAGTGGCCCCGGGTGTCCCCCAGGGAGGCTGCCCACCCACTCCTGGGGCCGGTGAGTTGCCTGCTTCCCTTGCAGAGACGAGGGCTGTGGCCTTGGCCCGTGTCGCCTCGTGAGAGCAGAGCAGAGATTGGACCGGGTGAGCTCGACCTCCAAGGTGGCTAGCAGCTTTTAACATCCTGGGGCTCTCTGTGTTCTCCAACTTTGCTTGTTGGAGAGGAGGGGAGCTGGGGAGGGGCGGGAGGAGCCTGGGAATGGGGCCCTGCCCTCTCTGAGCCGGGAGATCCCGCCCTGCAGGTCTGCAGGGGGGAGGGGCTGCGGCAACGGCAGCTCCCCCATCCCCAGTGGAGGCGGGCAGTCCAAGAAGGTATTTTGGCCAGCGATTAGGGTGCTTGACGTTGGGCTGGTTTTATCTGTGTTGTCAGAGGGACGGTGGGGGGAAGAGCGGACGGCTGCGCCGGGGTCCGGGCTGTAGTGTTATTTTCTGGCCGTGGTGCCCGTTCGTCCCTATCGCCCGTCTGCACCCTCTGCCCCCTCTGCCTTCTTCTGCTTGCCCTGCCAGCCCCGAAGCCCAGCCCCGTGTAGCCGTTAGGGGTGGTTCGTGACTAACAGCCTCGCGGCCTGGCACAGGGTCAGGGTGGCTGGTGAGCGCCGTAGGTGGCAGGCAACCCCAAATTGCCAGTGCCCTCCTCGGGAACACCCCCGGCAGAGCCCCGTCTGTAATCTGTGGAGCCAGAATGCGCTGGAAGCCGTGTTCCTGGTGAGGGTGCTGCTGCACAGCCGTTTCCTCTGGTTCCCCAGATTTCTTTATCACACCACAGTTCTGTTGACAAAGGTGCACTCAGGGAGACTCCATTAGGAGGGCCGCCTCGACTCCAGGCCAGGAAACATGAGAGCGGTTCAGCTTTGCTGAGTGGAAATCTGACCAGAGGGAAAAAGCCTCCCAGATGAGGAGCAGCCATATAGAAAGGAGGGGGTGGGAGAGGACCCCCAGAGCCGGGGGCGGGGGCAGTGTCTGCAGGGGGGCTCAGAGGCGGAGGCCAGGCCCCCGTGCACCTCCCCCACAGGCGCCCAGACAAGGACCCCTTGTTTAGATTAGCTTAATTACCCCACCAAAATCAATGAACAAGGATCTTTTTAAACATGGAACTTTCAAAATGTGCTTGGAGTGGCTTTTTTTTTTTTTTTTTCCTTTATAAAGGTATCAAATGCTAAGCCTTTGTGAAATAAGGCACTTGGAGCGGACTGGGGGATTGTGGACCTTTTCGCTGCGCGCGAAGGAAGCTTCCTGGCCCTAAATCAGAAGGAAGCTTGCCAAAAGTCCTGAGTTCACCGGTCTGCACAATAGCTATTTTCAACCCGCTGCCGTTGGGGTAGCGGTAACACTGGAAACATTTAGTGGGGGCCTAATGGTGTTTATGAACCTCCTTCCTTGGCAAGTGACTTTTAGAGGAGACATTTTAAGAAGATTAAAACGTCCACAGACTTCGAGGGCAACAGCGTAACCCACTTACTGTTTTCGTGTCGCAGATCGAGTTCGCTTTAAGCTTGGCGATCCCGCAGTGGCCCTTCCACTGCGGTGCATGGGCCGATGTCACTCCCACAGGAGCCGACGGGCAGGCATTTGAGGGAGATTGTGGGAAATGAAACACAGCCGTGAAGTTGGAGAGGAGGGCTCTGAGGTCGGTTTGGCTAGTTTGGACCCTTGGGTCAGACGGTGGTCACAGGGTCACACAACGATCAGTGGCAGACTCAGACTCCGTAGGGAACTCCCCCCAGTGAAGGTGGCCGTGGCGCCGGGTTCTTGCCCCCCGAGGGCAGACACAGGGGTGGTGCCTCCGCGAGGGCGAGGTGGCTCCCCTGCAGCCGAAGGGATTTGCAGAGCCTTTTCAAGTTACTCAGCGGGGCTACCTTGCCCGCCCACCTCTGCTTGGCCCAAAGCCCAGGTGAGGGAAGCATTGTTCGGTCGACCTCGACCGTGTTTTCATCCTCCCAAACCTGTGGAAGGATTTTGCTGGCAGAGAGGAAGACTGCATTCCTGAACCAGCGCCCGAGGGGCGCTTTCCTTAAAAGTACCTCCTAACCTGGGATTCTGTGGTGTGGCTGCCCCGGAGCGAGTGTTTAGAGTTTGCCAGAGGGCCTCTCCTGGGGTTCTGCCTCTGAATCCTGGGGCCATTTGAATTGACGTGCAACTGAATTCTTCCCAGTGTAGGGAAAGGAAGATCTTGAACACAGAATGCATAGCCAACCCCTAAAATCGCTGCTAAGAGGAGTTGGAACTGCGGCCAGATGCAGTGGTCACTCGCACAAATCGAGCCATCACTCGGTCATTGCCAGGCCAGAAAACTGGCGCGCTTCTCACTGCCGACCATTTAGTCCTCGCCCTGGCAAAATCTGTTTATCCAGAAGAGTACGATGTTTGGTTTGAAATGGGAAGGAAATATTTTCCCACCAGTTATTTTGAGGGGAGGGGCTTTGCCACCTCTACACCGGAGATGAACTTGTTTTGCCAGAGTTCACTGGACGTAACAAGGGGGGGTGGTGTGGGGAGCACGTGGCTGCCTAAATGCTGGGTCTTTCAGCCTTGGGATGCCTCGTAGCCGAGACCTTTGGAGTTTTTTGTTCATGCCCTGTAAAATAACTTTGATGAAAACTACAGGCACGTTTCTGAGTTGACATTGAACTTTATTGCTAATTTTTTGGAATTTTGTTTTGAGGGAGAGAGAATCCCAAGCCGGCTCTGTTCTCTGCTCCGAGCTCTGGCAGCAAAGAGCCCGATGTGGGGCTCAAACTCAGGAACCGTGAGATCGTGACCTGAGCCGGTAGCAAGAGTTGGACTCTGAACCTGCTGAGCCACCCAGGCGCCCCGTTATTGCTGATTTTAAATAGCTGAGAAAGAGAACATTTTTGGAGTATTGTAAATGTAGACATTTTAAGTTGCAGTCGTACCGCTCTTGAAAGTATCCGATATGAAATTCACTAATGATTTGATGACCACGGTTGCCTTTTAGAAAACGGAGCAGCAGACTGTGAACGGTTGTAATGCGTACGTGTTCTTTTCCTCTCGAACTTGGATGTTTGTTCCACTTTCCCTCGTGGAGTTTTATTCTAAAGTCACAGACTTTTACACTGGAAAGTCTTACTGATTGTTCTTCACGCTTGTGACACACGTGTACATAAATTGTGGTTTAAAACATTGCTGTGCTCAGAAGGCTGTTGTTAAGCCCATCTAGAAGCAGTTTTTCTCGGGGCGCCTGGGTGGCGCAGTCGGTTAAGCGCCTGACTCCAGCCAGGTCACGATCTCGCGGTCCGTGAGTTCGAGCCCCGCGTCGGGCTCTGGGCTGATGGCTCAGAGCCTGGAGCCTGTTTCCGATGCTGTGTCTCCCTCTCTCTCTGCCCCTCCCCCGTTCATGCTCTGTCTCTCTCTGTCCCAAAAATAAATAAACGTTGAAAAAAAAAATTTTAGAAGCAGTTTTTTTCATTGTAATTACCGATACAAAACTAACCACAGAAGCATAAATGTATCATTGATCTTCATAATTACTGAATGCCCAAAATGAAAATACATTGGAAGGTATGATCTGGGTGGGGGTCCATTTGAAGTGCCTCAGTTAAAAGGAATTACTGATCTGCCCTTGGTGCCTGGTACACACCCTTGCTGCTGGAACATTCCAGGGAGGAGTGACTCCTGCTGGTCCTGGAGGAAGGGAGCGTGTGAAGGCTGGGGCTGCCCCCGCTGGCGAGGGCTCAGGCCATTCTGACCCTTCCCTTGGGGACATTGAGATCTGTGGACTCAGGCTCCCAAAGGCACCCCACCTGAGAACCTCAAAGGTGCTTAGTGCATGGAGGGGTAAAGAGCATCTGCCGCTTCATTACGTT